CATAAAGCATTAAAATAAACTTGGAATAACCCTAGACATCTGCAGCAAATTGCTATGATTACAACATGAGCACATGCACAGGGGTGACACTGTCCTATCTATGCTGCCATTTCCTACTTGAGTCTTGACATCTGGTATAAATGCATAAGATGCAACATTTGTGCAATGCCACCAGACACATTTTACCCCCGGGCTCCCTTGCTTGTCCTGCAGACGTCAGTGGAGACCCCTCCCCCAAATCTAAAAGAATAGGAAACTCTAGATCTACCCAATTTATGTGTGGTTTCCCCATCTATTGTAGGCCTGGCTACGCTATATCACTGCTACCAGCCCAACTGCAATGCATTTCCTGAGTTAGTGGAAGGACAAACTTCCATGACTTTCCCCCCTCTCTGCAATTTCATCTCACTGGAGAGAAGTTCCTTCGGGTTTCTTCTTTTTCTTCTTAAATAGACAGATGCTACGTATCCGTTTAGATGAGAGCTTCTGGGTTGGAATAGAGTTTAAGGATGGAAAAACAAATAACAAATGCCCACAAATATTCCTGTTACCCCTGAAGACAGTTGAGCCAAGATGTTAAAAAACTGTAACCTGGCTGATTCTCCAAAGTACATTTCAGATGTTCCTGGGGTTTAACTTGATTATTTATCAGCTTAAAGTTGCATCGGAGAAGGAGATTAAACAGAGAGTTTCTTGGCAAGATAATAAAACTTATGCAGATGAAATGCAGGCTAGTCAACTGGATAACTGGAGAAATAATTCTGTGCACATAACAGGGTCTGCTGTTCAGATCCTCCCTCTTTTTGGAGCTGTGCGTGTGTGCGCGTCACAATGGAATATGAGAAGATAAATTGGGTAAAATCCAAGCAGGATTTGGTGGATCACGATGGCTAAATGCAACTGGGGTTTTTCTAATCTGAAATAAACAGATTGTCTCAGTAAGAATCAACCACTTGAGACGCTGCAAAGAATTAAATCCATTTAAGGTCATAAGATTGGAATGGCTGTAGGATATCTGTGTGTGTGCGCGTGTGTGTGTGCTCATTTCAGTGCTTGGCTGGAAGTTTAACAGCGATAGATTTGCTATAATAAGATACGTTCAAAATTATTACCCAACCGTTGAGATATTAAAAACAGATACATTACAATCTTATTTTACTCACGCAAAGTTATAACTAAGCTTAATACGGAATCCACCCATCCTATCTTGATTTTTTACTTGGGTACAGCAGGGAGAGTAACAGATTGTTAATGATTGCAATGAACATACTTTTGCTATTGCTATTCACAATATCATCTGTTTCCAAACATTATTGGTAAAATAACCTGGTCCAGAAAAAGTCCACACACCCCCCCCCTTAGCTTTGATTCCCTTCCCCATCTATTTTTTATACCTAACCTGCTTTCCTTTAATTTTTTTTTTTTTTTGATAAAAAGCCCTACTTTGTCAGAAGGGTGCCAAATGCCAAACACGTGGAATTCTGTACAGCTGGAGATGCAGCTAAGTCACAAGTATATTAAATATTAAATGAATCGTAAAAAAAGCCATAACAATTGCACTTTTCACACTGAATTTGGGGAATGGGAACAAATGGGTTTCTTGAGCAACGGCTGCTACTGTTGAGCTGCGTATTTCTTCAATGTTGTGTTCTTGCCCAAAGATCTGGAGTGACAGTTGGAAGCATTCGTTCCTGTTTCTGCCCTTGCTCAGAAGGTTTCAGCCCCTATGACTATTATCGGAATGCCAACGGATAACTGCATGTCAGTTCACAAGTAGATGCAACTTTATGAATACTGGGTATTCATAAAAAGCAAAGATTTCTTTCTGACTTCTATCCCTAGGTGAATTCTGAGATGGTTTCCCCATCATAGGGGAGACTGGAAGTTGAAGGTCACACATCTGGAAAGGAAAGTTAGAGAAGAGCTGCGTAGCCCCATCAGATCTGAAGGTTGGCTTCCAGGAACCTCCATCTACACCCATGAGGTGGCAACTAATGTCTTTTTTTTTTTTTAAGGATAAAACAAGACTCTACGTACCCCATCCAATGCCATAGTAGTACAAGAGCTTGCTCTCTTCAGATCCAAACACTTTGATCACCATGCTGTAGAGATGGAACCCTTCCACCAGCATCCAAGCAAAGGTGCTCAGGAAAAAGAAGTGAAGGAGAATTGCCAAGATTTTGCAGGGGATCTGCAAAGAAGCCAAACCAATCAAATGAACAGGAAAGGTTAGAGGAAGACTTTGACAACCCAGGTTGTCAAAATGGGTTGCACCCATTTCGGTCAATAATTGATACAATTCTGTGGTACCTGCCCTCTGGAATCTCTCTCTCTTACACACACAGATCAGACTTGCCCCGACCTTAATGGCCTTTCTCAAGGCATTCAAATTCTGGCTTTGCCAACGAGCCTGGGGCCCTGCCAGTGTGGGTGAGCCCATTTTATGGTTGCTAAGCATGTTCTCCACTGCTACTTTATGCTATTGGTGTGGGATTTTTTTTTTTAATGTTGGTTGTTTTTAAGCCGTTTTTATTTTGCTTTTAATTGTTAGCCACCCAGAGTCGTGTCTGTGAGGTAGGCAGCCATGTAAATGGGTTACATCAATCCATCAGTCCCCTGGAAAGCAAGTTTCCAAGTTATGAAATAAATAAACCAATTCATTCCATGGAAAGTACAGTTCAACTTGTATTGAGCTAGGGGAATAGGGGGAGTTTCTAAGAGCTCACAGAACAGCTCGCCCTACATGATTTGCATCAGTGGGACAACACGGGTCTCTAAAGCTAGCTGCCCCATCCCGTTTGTTGACGCTTCATGGGAGCCTAAGAGGTTGTCCGCAAGATGATTCACTAGGCCGGAGGAAGGAAGAATACCTAGTGTGGCTTAGGAAACATAAGGAGGCATCTGTTTCTTCCCATATGTTGCAACCCTGCAAAATGAATCCTGCTTCTACTCTCTCTAGCAGCCTCTGGTGAGCCACAGGCAGTGATCAGAAGGAAATGGATAACTCAGAGATGGTGAAAGGCTTGTTCAAATTGTCATAGGTGGACAGAAAATTGGATTTATGAGCCATGACAGTAATCCACAAAGGTTAGATATAGAATCCACCACACTTGATACCATTCCCCCCGCCCCCGGTTCTTTGCCCTAACCCTACTTCAGCCTTGTCTCACTTTTCATTTCCGTCTTTCCCACTGACTGGAATCCAGGGAGGGACTTCTCGTAAGAGAAAGCCACGTGGGTTGACCCATAACCTTCTCTTGATCCATGGTATTTTTCCAAGCTTCTATAGGTCACAATCTCTGCTGGGCCTGTCACACGCGCACGTCTTTCTCCTTGTTTGAGGAATGGAACTAAGTTTTCAACACAATGCTGCAACCTAGACAAACATTCTTAGGTTGCTTGGCAACTGGGTGACTCAGCTTACCTAGGCAACGTTCACTGTAGTGTCACCTAGTTGCCTTGCCAACACCAGAATGCTTACTCTTTCCCCCAAGGCTGAATCCTTGACACATAAGAAGGAAGGTTCAAGAAGACTCCCCACCCACGCCCTCCTCCATGTTGCCTAGATATTTTTTTTATTTTCTCTTGAGTCAAGCACAGCTCCTCGAGACTTCATGGACATATCCAGATGGATGTGTTTTGCTATTCTCTTGTCCCAAGGATACTCTTTGATTTCTCAGTCTAGCCCACGTTCTCTAGCCTACACATCACTTGGGTTGGGAAAGGCTAGTCTAGATCAGGCCTTTGGAATTTAAGACACTCCAGATGTTGCTGAACTACAGCCTCAAGCTATCCTCTGAGTTATCCATTTCCTCCTGATCACTGCCTGTTAACGGAAGGAGATTTGGTAGCTAAACAATATCTAGAGGTCCATATATTTCTCCTCTCCTTGTCTAGATTATTTACAGTAAGAATTATGGTGGCCTGCACCACAAGAGTTAAGTTAAGGTGGCCCCTGTCTCTAATAATTCATAAATGCAATATGTCATTAGAATGGAAGGAAGGTGCATAGAAACTAGGTAGGACAAAGGAACAGGTTGAGTTGGGGGTGGGGTTCAATTGGGCTAGCAGATATTAGGATAAACGTTTTGCAAAAAAAGGAGAGATGCATAAAATTGCCTTTTTCCTAGAACGTTATGATTCTTGGTGCAACAGAAATGTGTATCAACCTCACACAGACTTTTTTTTTTACAAAACAATGGCAAACTAACATCGAAATGGGACAAAATGAATGTAAGGCCAGAGGGAAAAAAAAGGATTATAAAGTTGCTGAGTACTACTTGGCTGAGCGTGTTTCATCAACGTTCACACATATGCAAGAGAAAACCCCAGGAATTTTTATTTCAGGAAGAATCAATGAAAATATCCCCGAATACAATTCCTTCTTCACATTTTATTGGCTATCTGCTGTGTTTTTCTCCGTTAAATGAAGATAAAGGGGTTCAAGTTTCATCAAATGCCAGGAAAGTTTCCGATGAAACAACATAATTATCATTATGGTTATTAATAGTATTAATTATTGAGTTAAACAGCACCCTCTTTGTGATGATTAATCTCTGCCTTTATTTTTCAGTGCAAATCACCCAAAGTTAAAACACAAACATTTGTCACGTTTAGTTTGTACCAACTATTGTCGAACAAATGTGAAATGAATAACCTCCTTATTTAAATGCCAGCAGCATTATAAGGCTGTCATCACAGTAACCGCCATTTAATAAAGCGGTGACAAATTGTCGAAAAATAAAGAGGGGTCCGCTTCAAAGGGAGGGCTTGCATTTCAAAAGACTAGGGGTTGAGGAACAGTGTGACAATTTGTGCTGTCAAAAAGGAACAGCCCAGGCTGTTCTGAGATGGCCAAGAATGTTCAATTTAAGCAAAACTGGGTGGAAAAAGACAAGTATTTAGATAAGCTGCATGCCTTTCTCTGCCATTGATGGACTTATGCACAAGCCAAAGGCAAAGGGTGCCAAGGGTGACCCCCTATTCTCCAGAAGACAGGAGAAGGAAAGGGCTGACTTCACGGAAAAGGGGCAACACGTGATGCAATCCAATGGCCCCTTTTAATGCAAGAATTTATCCTCAGGTCCCTGCAGTGATGCTTCGAGTCAGACAGAATCCCTACCAGGAGAATAATAATTGGCTTGGATGACAGATGAGAAGAAGAGGACAACCAGCAACAAGGTGGATGGACTTCATTACAGTGGCAATGAGTGCACTGTTGGGGGACTCGAAAGAACAGGATCAGGGATAGATCATTGTGGAGAAAATCTATGTGGTCAACTAGGAGTTGAAAACAACTTGATGGCACGTAATCAACCAGTCGATCAATAGATGACAGGTAGCGTTGAGAGCTCTCAAAGAAAGAAAGGGTGACTTGCAAAGGTTTCACTTCTCTTTATCAAGTTGTCCTATACTTGCCCTTCAACTCCCTAAAACTATGTTTTTACAAGCTGGGTAGATAGTCAAGCAGTTCTATTTGGGCATGACATGAATTGAGGGGCCCAATGCTGGAGGCTTTGATAGATGAGCAAGAAAAAGTTTCCCAGTGGGCCGTGCCAAGTATAAGAACCAAGTGTCAGTAAGTACCAGAGCAGAAGTTCATATCACTAGGTACTTTCCAGAAGTTTTGAAATGCAACTCCCAAATAGCAGGGTCAGATGGCGAGGAATTTTGAAGCTGTAGCCCAAAACGTGAAGGACACCAGGTTGCCTACCTCTCTTGTATTCAGCATGGATGGAACCCAAGGTTTAAGGTATCCTTCATAAGAAGACAAGAACTTTATTGAATTATGATAAAGCCTGTTCATTCAATTTGCTGTTCTCCTAGTGGCCCAGAAATGAAACGGTCACAAGAATAAGTTCAACAAGATCCTCTTTTCCCTAGGTCCAGAGGCACAATACTTAGTGGTGGAAAGCCATCATTGTTTCACAACTCGATAAATCATGTTTCATGAGATGATCTCATTGGTAATTTTTTAAAAAAGGTATTATAAGTTTGCAATTTGTTTGGAAGCATAGCAATCTCCTGGGTTCCTTCCCCCCTCCTCCTCTTTATTATTATTATTTTTAAAAATCTTGGGCAATTAACTGTTATTATCCTGAATTATCATGGGTTATCAGATGCCACCTCCATTTCACTTACCGTCCCAGGGTCAAACTGGAAGCTGATAAGGAGCAAGATCTGAGCAACCAAGACAGCAAAGGAAAGATTGGCGTGTATGTGATAACGCTGGTTACGGATGGTACTGACAGAGCTGAAAGAAAACCCATTCATTAGTATTCTGAAAACAAAAATTATACAGTTCCTACATGCATTCTCTTTTCTGCATTAAGTTGGACTTCAATCATTTTCTCATTGCACTCACCCCAAGTTATTTGTTTTGAACATTAAAGGACAAAGAAGAATTTCTCTCCCATCCGTGAATGCAAGAGAGCAACATGATCTGCCAGTAATGCTGGTCTAAGACTGTAGTAAAGTTGCTTTGCTGCCTACCTGTGCATTCAATCTACCATCCCTTTAATTTGATTTGAATGGCAGAACTCATCCTTGCAAAGCTTTGAAGGACATCTTCAATGTTTTACGACTCCCTAAAAGTGATTTGCAAAGCCATACCCCTGTTTGGCTTCTAGTGGCAAAATTAAGTAACCAACGTTGCTTCACTTTTTTTCCCAAGAGGTGGAGAATTTTTTACACATCTGCAAGGCATGCTGGGAAGCCTTCTCCTACTACTGGATGTACTGGATCTGGGTAATGCAGAGTGCCCATCCAAGCAAATGTTTTGCTTCGTATCGTCCAGAAGAACTGTGTTAAAGTGCATAGGACATCATCAAGTCCAATCCAAGTTGCCTTGGACAGATCTCCGAGGAACACTTGGCCAACTTTCTGGACTTTCATTTTCCCTCTCCTCTCATTTTTACATACCACCAGAGGAAATATTCTGACAAATGTGAAAGCTTGTACACCAACTAAGCTCAGAGAAACTTACAACCCAATGCTTAAACTATGCGTATTTTCAACCACTGCTTGTACACACTTTTGTGCTAGTTTGGCTGACCCTAATAAATATACTGCCCCATTTTAAATGTTAGTCTTATGGATCAAGAAAGCCATCGCTTTTGCTGGCTTTTGGAAGGGGACGGGAGGGGTTGTAATTGGAAAATATCTGATTTGCAACCCTATGTAGCATTTTTCCTCTTGGATCCATTTCAAGATAATTTTATCAAGGAAGGGTGTTGGGAGTTCATAAACACCGTAACCGCAAGAGATAAGCCACACTGGGGAATGGCAACAACTGTTCGGTGAAAGATAAATGATCTAGTAAAAGATACATTTACATATGTTTAAAATACAGCCTCTCAGAAAGAAACAAGGGCAACAGACTAGAGCAACAATGGAGGATCTGTTGTCATCAATCTGAGAGGAGCATCAAGATCAATTCCATTCTACATATCCAACCTTCCATCACTTCTACGCCAGATGCGGTGACATCTCCCTCTCTAACCTCTTAATGAGCCTAACCCTCTGGTCAGAAAGGCAAGGTTACAAAATTAGGTTTTAATTGGGCTAGTGTCTTCCTAAAGCACTCGTGCTTTGGCACTCGTGAAATGAATTTTTGTAATATTAACTAGATTCCGCTGCCTTTTAAATCTTTTGATAGACAGAGCGTTCCTGCAGGCACATGCAAAATTTCTGACATTCAGCAAAGTTGAAAACATTGTTTCTCCCTTCCTCTCCCGAAGCGCCTCTGAATTTAATAACACTAATTAAAGCCAAATGAAAACCCGAAAGGTGTTTGCGTTCCACATAAGGGGGTCTGAATTCCTAGAATTTGCAGTTGCCTCTTGCATGCACAATGAGGGGAGGGAGAGTAAGAAACATGAATATTTACCCATTCATTTTTGGTTTTTCACCATCACTTTTTGCACTTTAAATCAAGACACATCTCTCTTTGAGAGGAGAATCAGTCTAAGTGGTTTCATGTTAATACATTTGGGCCTGATCCTCTTCAGATGGGAAAGTAGGAGTAATTCACTAGAAGCAGATGAGGCTCGGATTAAGTGAACAAGATTGACAGAGAAGGCTATTTGCATATTCAGATGAAATCTGGCATTTTGTAAATACTCACTGTCTTATTCTCTACCTAGAAGTGGCTTTGTTATATATATGGAAATAAGAAAGACTTATTACTAGCTCCCAAAAGCACAGTTAAATTTGCACTCTGGAAGACCAAGCAAACGTTCCTCAGAGAAACCATCTGGCCTAGCTATGATGACCATAAGCCTTGGTATTTGCTAAGCCTGTGTGAATTAAGCAAAATCTCATTTGAATGGCCAAGATGATTTGGAAAATGGACCCAGTCTGAATCAAAACCATTCAGGAAATCGATGCCATTGTGTTCAGATTAGATGGTCAACTGGGTGTGATTCCATTCAGATTTCTGAATCAAAGCATAAATAGTTGTTTCTGCACCCCTGCAAGATCATCGCCCAAATTGATTTGGAGGCATCGGATGTGTTCAGTCTGCCCATCTGACTTCAGAAATGGAAACCAATTGCCTTCCAGTTGAATCTCTACCTTGAATTTCACACAGCTGTCAGACTTGCTGCGACTCCATGCAAAAGAGAGTCCTCCATTTAGGTTGCCCAGTCATTCTTGTTGACTGAAGCCCAGTAGGCCAAGAGAACATGCCTACTGAACATTCACACCAGGTACTGATATCACTTTCTTCAAACTGGGGTCCTCTAAATGAGTTGAGACTGCAACTCTGGAATTGCCAGTTAGCGTAGCCAGGTGGAGACATTCTGATGGATATTCTGGCCATGATAACCCCCAAACACAGATACATACATTTATTACACTTCTCATCTGCCTCATCACCAAAGGTCTCCATACTACATCTTTGGAGAACATCTGGTAGGAAAGGCAAAGTTGCACATCAACTTTGATCCACACCACTAGGGGACAATACAGTCTTCACCACCACAAAGCCGAACTATAAAACTTGTAGTACTATAAGGCCTGGCAATGCTCTGGATTCAGTTCTGTTCCATAATGAAGTTTTGGAGTGTGCCTATGAAATGATTCTAAGAAAAGAGGGGCTTCTCTAAGGAGCTACCCAGGGGCACTTTATTTGCTTCTCCATGCCCTGCAAAGCCCCCTTTTTACAGTCAAATCCAGAGCATTGCACAACATCCTTATCTTACTTCTGCCAATCACAGGCCCTCCTATTAATCTCATCGCTTTTCCCTTCCTCCTTTCGGTATCTTGCGTGGGGGATGAAGATATTCTGCCCCCTTCTCTAACTGGCTCAGGCAAGATGCTTTAGGACTACAAGTCCTGAGTCTCTCAATCCGGCTGCCAATTTGGGGACCTGTAGTTGTAAGCCTTCTGTGGGAACCCACAAGAGGGAAAGCCTAGCTGCTGAAAACCGTCCAAGAATAAATGACGAGGAAATAACCTGCTATTTTTAAAAGCTTCCCACTTCCAAGAAATTAAAGTAATTTAGACCAAACTCAACTGAGTGTTGCTAATATACGTGCAGCATCTAATTAAAGAGGTTTAAGGAATTAATAACCTTTTTATGAAACTCTCAGCACCTGAAAACATCCAGTCCAGTGGCCTGAAATGAAGTGGCTGGGTTTTTCTTTTTCTTTTCTTTTTTTCTTTTTCAACTGACTATCTATATTTCCAGGGTGATATTGGCTCAGCAGGAAGAAAAGTTAAAATTACTCACGACAGAATTGCAAACGTGACCAGAGTGATAGTCAAGCAGAAGATGGAGATGGAACATCCTATGTAACTGATAGAAGACAATGCCACCTTCTGTCTGTTTGTTAACTGTACAAAGAAAGAAAGAGAGAGAGAGATTATATTTAATGATTCTGCATTGCCTCCACCCCAGGTTATTAAAAAAATGTGTCCAGCAAGTAAGGATAGGCACTCACACGTAAAACATTTTTTAAAATTACAACATTCTCAGGAGAGAAAACAAGAACTGGTCCAAGGAAACAAGCAGAGCCAATCCATTTGACAGACATCTCAACCATCTGTTAGTGATCAAGAGCTCACAGTTATGACAAAAACAGGAAAATAAACTTGGTTTCAAATGAGATGAAGCCCTCTTCCAGAATCTCCCCAGTTCTTGTCTGGTTTTTTTAAGGTTAACCATTCCCTCTTTGTAATTTAGACCATTGATCGTTCTTACAAGAGGTATGTGAACCAATTGGTTACGTGCCATCAAGTCGGTTTGACTCCTAGCGACCACATAGATAGATTTTTCTTCAGGAGGGTCTGACCCAACTGGTCCTTCAGATCTTCCAACTGTATGTGAACTTCTGGTTCTCATTTATTTAATGAGAATTACATGGATTTATTTTAATTTTTATCTCAGTTGGGAAACTTCTTGGAAGACAAAAAAAGGGGGAAATGGGGGCGGTGATGTTGAAATATGCATTACTAAAAGAATAGGGTGTTATTGATCAACACAGTCAGGTTTTCCAACTCAGGACTGAGCCCAGCTTCTTTTGCACAGCTCAGCTGGGCTCAGAATTGGTTGAAGTCCTTCAGACAACTACCAGCTGCTAATAAAACTAAGGTTAGTATTCTTTTCTTTTGCTCAACATCAGAGCAAAGAAGACCCTGACTTGTTATGGTTTACTTAATTAGCGTACAATGATTACCACTCAGGGTCTGTTATGGAAAGATGAGTAGCTACAGAAGTGGACAAAAATTACTCTAGGAAGACTGCAGTCAAAAGCCAACTTCTTTCCAAGAAAGCGCGTGAATTATTGTAGGCAATGAATCTCTTAAAACCAGTTCCTGGGAACATGATTTAGAGAATACTATTGTGTAAGACCTTTACTTCAGCATTGGCTTGGTCACTGTAGAAACAGAAGACTGGACTAGACTTTTGATCAGACTCAGCACACTTTTCTTCTATTTGTACATTCTGCATCTTATCTGTATTTCACATACTAAAATGACTATGGTTGGAACCAATATTAATTATGCTAATTAGCATTGTGCAATGTTTCTGAATAATTTAGAAAAGACGTTTCAGAGGACACAGAAGCGGGGACATAGCTTTGTCTGCAACTCTTTAAGATAGCTGTGTCTTTTCCTGGGATCAAGTAACCACCCTCTGCAGCTACTTCATCCCAGAAAACAATGCAGCTGCCTTAAAGAGTGGCAAACAGACGCTACATTTTCACTTTCACACACTTCGACGCACCATGTTAGAAACAAATTCCAAGCACTGCACCACCGCAGTACTAATATTACATGTGAATGGACTTCTACAGAATCAAAACCTACAAACCTGTCTTATCCTGCTCACTTATAATCCAGTTCACCTTGCCCTGTTACTTGATTCAGTTCCAATGCGGAGAGCTGAATTTGAATGCAAAGCAAATTTGCTCGAAGTCACTTTTCATTAATGAAGAAAAAAGAGAGCATTTAAGCAAAATGCTATTTCTCGGGGGGAAGGGAGCTCAGTTATTATTGTCAGTAATTAGCTGGAGCAGTTTCTCAAAAATGAATGTGACCACAACAGAAATATTGACTAGCAAGTAGTGTATCGATACATAAATATGCATTTCCCCGCTCTGAAATACCCAACAGAAACTCATTGTGTAGCTCATGGGCTTCTTAGCATCACAGCATCAAGGTCTTTTTCTCTGCTTTGTTTAGCCTTCCCTGATGTTTTCCTGACTGACTGTTCATTCAAGGTTTCTACTCCAGAAAGATCTAATCTCTCCTTCAAATGGAAAATGGCTTTGCCTAGCAAACATGCTGCAAATCAAGGGTTGCATCAAAAGGCAGGAGCGATAGCACACCAGATAAACCATCAGACAGCGAGGGTGGAGGAAATTCAAGATTTGTTAATTGCTCTGGTTTAGAGGGGCAAGGATAGTACTTGGAAAGGAGCCAAAGGATTTCTCCAGAATTTATGATCCTGTGCTTGTATTCCGAACATTTTCTCTTACTATGCATCCTACTGTTTATTCATTGAACCATGTTGCACTTGATAATCTGTTTCTGGTATTCAGCTTCAAATGTGACATTAAGCCATGTTGACTTCCTTGCTTCAGCCTAGGCTAACAGGCTAGGGTCAGCAGAGCCAGGATGGTAAACTAAGGAAAGGAAAGCTTTATTTTTGGTGGTGGAACTGTGATTTCCATCCACAAAACTCTGTGTTAATTCCTTGGTGGCTGCCAGCTGAAAGCAAGACTCGCCAAGGATGAATTCTCTGGGCAGGAGATCTCCAGTCTCCTCCTACATGGTGAAATAGGTGAAGTCAGAAGGTGAGGCCTACCTGCTGGCCTGCTGGAGCAGGGGTGGGGTGGGGTGGGGTGGGGGGATGAATCTAAATCCTAGGTTGCTTCCTGTGCTTTCCCCAATCCCCAAAGTAGCAGATGAAAGGAAAAGCTCGATTCAGCCTGAGTCTCTGAGGACGTCAAGATAATTAGGACAAAGCATCTGATCAGGAACAAGGTGCATTCGGGATGCAACAACTTAGGGATCATTCGGTTCTTCTGTCTTGGGCCTCCAACTATTTTCTG